AGAATTAATTTTGGTTGACGACCATCAACTTGAAGTGCATTAAGAATGGGTGGTAATTGTTCATCAAATTGCACATCAACAACGGCACCAATGACAGATACTACACGACCTTTGGCACCTTTAGCTGCTTGTTGACCAGATTGCGATTGTTTACTTGTTGTTGGTTTTTGTTGTGCTGCTTGTGCGGCGGCATTTCGTTTACCAACAACTATTAAGAATAATGAATTAGATCAATAAATCGATTCTTTTTTTAGAAAAAAAATTCAAATTACTGTGAAAATTAGCTGTTGGTTGATAAGTTAGTCTTGCCCATCTTGGATTAGCAAATGTATTTCGTTGTTTACCGAGTACAACTTGTGCGACACTTCCAGCTCGCCGACAGGCATGTCGAATGCCCTGCATATTTGTACAACTAAAAAATCTGAAAGAAAAAATCTAACTGAATGAATTATCCGTGAGAAGAAGATGGAGATGAAGAAAAGAAAAACCGGAGTTTACAATAGGAAAAACAACTGATAATATTCTTTAATGAGGCAAAATAATCGAGATAATGGCGATTATTTTAATTCGATTTTTTATTTTATATTAATATTTTTATTATAAAAAGAATAAAAATTATAATAAAATATTTTTAAATATATATTAAAGAATAAATACTATAACACACTAATGCACTTCTGTTTAAAGGTTACATCGTAGTAACTGTAGAAAGATCATACACTGTAATACAATTGATCGAAGAAGAAAATCATATTTACGTATTTATTGATTGACTAATGAGATTAATAGAAGTTATAAATATAAATTTTTTTGTTTGTTTTAAAATTAAGATTTTAACTTCAAAAACTTCATCAAATATTGATAGTTGAAATAATTCAAAGAAAAGCAATACTCATCTCTATCACGGAAAATGAAATCTAATTCTCTTAAAAATATTCTCAGTAAACATGAATTTTATTATTGCATAAACAAGAAACTTGAATAATTATAGCAGTGGAAAAATTTGTTCTCATAATGTTGAAACATGTGATAAATATTGATAGGGAAAAGTCAGAATTAAAATTTTTATGATGTGTCATGTAAAAATTCAAATTCGTATCAAATAAATTGCATTAATTTACTGCTCGGATGATTTTTGTGACATACAATATCTTAGATCGACTCGTTGATCTCCAACGATCCGTCATAGTTTATTCCGACACAAGTTTTGATGATGTATACTTGTCACTGGGTTCTGTTTTAACCCTTTCAGTCCCATAATATAAAAAAAGCAACACATGTTTTATAATTATTTTTCATGACAAAATTTAATAAAAAGAGATAAAGATTGCAGAATATTTCCGTGGCAGACGTCACTGTTACATCTTTTCTTTTTCAAACTATAATATCATTCGAATGCATGACACTTTCTTCGCAGCACTCGACATATGATATATACATATTTTTTCCCTTGTATGTGCGCATTATTTATTTTAAAAGTAAAAAAATAGTTCTTAAGAACAGAACCTCTAATGCCAAAGGAAAGACTTTAAAAAAAATACCGTGATTTTATCGAAATTTTTTTCTATGCGCAGTCTCCGATCCTCTTCAAAGAAAGTATATAAAGTGACGTTTTGATTCAGTCTATATTTACAAAGACTAGTGTGCAATCGAAACGAAGTACTAGATTCCTCCGTAGTTTACTCATCAAATACAATTAATCTTGAAACGGATGCAAATGGATTTTAACCAAGAAAGTATAACAAAAAACTCATCTATCGATAAGAAATACAATTTTTATAATGGAAATGATAGTGATCTTGAAATTGATGAAGATAGCATGCGAGAATACGCTGGTTATTAATGGTATGTGTTTCTGTAACTAAAATAAGTTGTTTTAAGAAACTATTTGACTTTCATCTTCGTTTTACTCAATAATTATGCTTCCAATTTCACTTAGACAACTGATATCATTTTGCCAGAAGCGAGATGATTTTCAAAAAGATTGGTATAAATTCATAGTAGAAAAAATCAGGTTAGTATATATATATCGCAAATATAATACATGAAAAATTAAATAGCGCCCGAATTCAATTTCATATTTACACTAAATTAAAAAATTTATAAACGTGACTTCCCGGAAAACATGTTTTGTTATTAATCATTTAATTTCTTTTTTAGTTGTCTATACTCCGTTTATTAATAAAAAAAAGAAGGTACTTTCAAGAACATGTTCTTGAAATGAATCTTTTTTTATATCAATTATATTGTCACAAACATGGTTTTAAACGGTTAATTATGATATCAATTTATAGTAAAAATTCTATATATATAAATCGGTTTATTTGAGTGATTTGATCATACTGGTCCGGACCATTTCGAAAGAAAATTAAAAAAAAAATAAGAGCAAATTAACTAATTAACTTTTTCTACTTCTTTTTATCACTCTTCTGTGGTATGATGTTTTTTACAGCAATTGATGAGTTGACCTCTTGGCATTGCTTGAATAGATGCCTTTTCATTGTAGTGATGACGTGTTATATTTTTGTGCTAATATTAGAAGACTAATAAAAATTCTATGTAGGAGTACTTCCAGGGGCGGCGGAGCGCCATTAACCTAAGTGAGGCTCACAATATTTTTTTCTACTGTGAAATTTTATTAAAACATGAACCAAAATATACGTCTTCTTTTTATTAAATCTCAATAAAAACTACACCGATCATCGTGAAAATAAAACAAATCAGAACGTACCAAAAAAATAACTTTCTCTGTTCGTTCTTCGATGCGAAAGTTGAACAGAGACGTTTCTTTGTATATGTTTCAAAATGAAAAATGGATGAATATCTGGTCGTTTTCCAGCCATTAAATACACTGTGAAGAGGATATAAATCAATCCGATCACTACTGAGCTACTTCTTTATTGCCGAAATAATATATATATATATATGTGTATGTGTATATGCGCTTGAAAAAAACCAAACGTTCTGGAAATAAAACAGATATAGACGAAACGAGGAAGAACTAAACATGCGCA